CGGCAGCAAATCACACTTACAGTTGCTTTGTTTGTAGTTTTAAAACAATGCAGAACAAGGGAGAAGAACTCAGAAGTCGAATGGAAATTCTGAGGGGAATGAATGCAATGTATAGCCGATGTTGAATTCTTACTGAAGAGGATATCAGATTGCAATTCGTTTTTCCAGTGTATACACAGTGTATACAGAGTGTAGTTTGAGTGTATATAGAGTGTATATCAATTATATACAGAGTGCATATCAATTGTATACTGAGTGTTTCGAGTGTTTTTTTCTGGTATGTTCTTCTTTCTCTACAACTTCTGCTCTATTTATAGCAGTCATGTGAGAGAAATTCATCTCCTCCATGGTGGAACAAGCATTAAGATATCATGAAGGAAGCACTTACATGGTGGAATGAACACTTGCTTGGTGGGAGGAGCACTTGGCCATGGTGGGAGGTGCACTAGGCATCTTGTTGCTTTCTTGGTGCAACACAATACACGAATTGGAAAACATCCGTTACAAACACGGATTATATCACGTTAATATTCACTATTAACAAATAAATTTGGTCCAAATAATTAATCAATCGATCGATCATTTGATCAAATCCAAATCCAAATCTCATTTCCCATTCACTCTCATTTTAAGACTATTTCATCTTAAACAAAAACTCAACAATCCAAAACTCAACATAAACTACTTCTAAAAATTAAAATGTTTTCTTTTTTATGAAAATGTGTCACATAAAATTGGACAGAAGGAATAATCACCTCTATTTTTGTTGGTCAGTACTCAGTAGCCAATCTAGGAGCTCAAATACTACTATATGTCTGCAAGAGCATGCAGTTTCGCCCTTATATTTTGGTACAAATAACAAAGTACAAGATAGCCTGGAATCTTATGTTGATTCACCAAAACATTATATACATGGCTGTGAGTTGTGATCCATGTTGATTTTTTATTAGCCTTAGGGATTAAGTCATGTGGTTAATGAGGAAAGCAATTAAAAGAAGTGATGTGTACTGCGAACTCCTAATGGAATTGTTAGAGATTTACAAGTAAAAGAACCTAAAATGCATATCATTTTGAATTAGCTCTGAGATGATTAGAACTTTCTCTTATTGTTAAAATCACAGCTAGCTCTTCTTGTGAGTTCACAAAACTCAATTAATAACAACTTGATTAGTCCTTTAGGGAGTTTCTATATGGTAAGCTCGCAAAGGTTAATAAATATAAAAAGTAGCCAACATTGAAAAGGACATGTACTCCGGGCTGAAGTTTAAAGAAATGATTCCTTCTTGATCATGAAAATTTATTTTCTTGGCTGCAAGAAGATATCCAATGAAATAAGGACATGTGTTGCTAGTCAATCCAATTCATTGCCATATCCAAGAAGATATGGGGAATGGTACATTTTCAAAGAATTGATGAAGGAGCATTCCACAGTGTTGGGTTATATTCAGTCTAGGTTGGAAAGATTGTGTTGAAAAAGAAAGGAGAATAGTGGACAGTGGATATATACAGGGAGTGGAAGAAATCTAATGGTAAGTGAAAATTGTATTTTAAAGAGAGAGAGAGAAGATTGATGTATGCATGTGTTCATTTGTGGACATCCATGAATCCATGTGAAGATGTCAAGATCATTATCTTAATACTAGGTAGGTCCCCTTCTTCTTGCTGGACATTTTGGTGATCACCCTCAGGTTTTGTCTCACGTGTATGCAAAGTAGGTTTCATGGCAGAGGATAGAGACTGTTGTTTTATGTCTCGTTGGGTTATTTGTTCCTTCTTTACTTCCGCTATTTTTATCCTATTGGTTTTAACTTGTTCGATCCTCCAAAAATGCTACATTTGTGTCTAATCTTCTAAAAATTCTCATATCTGAGCAACATAAGTGATTGACAGCTAACGAGCTTTAATGCCTAGCAAACAATCATGCAATACGTATAATAAAAGCCATAACATGGCCCAAAGGTATCTTCATAGCAAAATAAGTCACCTCAACAAGACGACATCCGAATACAAATCCGTATACAACATACACCAACTCAAGTTTCATAGAGCTTAGAGTTAAGAGTACTTAAGTTACCCACTGACAGTATAGGTGCTTATGTTTGGCTTTTAAAATAATATAGTTAAAAAAAAAACCTTTGTACTATCCATGATTCCATGGACAAAAGCTAACTTCATTAGCTGATTGAATGGGGCTTTATTGGCTCATTCGCACACAAAATTGAACTCAAGTGGGCTTAGTGGGAGGCTTAGGGCCACAGCAAAGGCAAGTCTGGGCTCTCAAGAGGAGATGGCAGTCAACTTCATGCCTGACACTAACATGCATACTACTACTAATACTGTCAAGTGCCCACTATCTGGTCTCACTTGTGGAGTAGTTTCCACCTCAATGGACAAGATGCCCAAAGAATCTTTTACTATGCAGTTCACCGAACACATTCGGAACAGCAGCAAGATGAGGTAAGACAAGGCTAAAAGTTACAGAAACTGTCAACTGTATATACAGCAGACCGCAATATATAGTTCATACACTTCTGGATATTTATACCATATCACAATTAAGCTGCATGAGTACAGAAGTTGGTAAAACAGTAAGAGTAATCACTAAGTCTATGAAAATACTCATTTTTTTGTTGCTATGAAAATACATATTGTTGTATGACCAAGATGACAAGTTGGTAGCTGATATTTCAAATTGTTACGGAAACCAAATGTATATAGTGTGAATAAGTCACAACTACTATACCAAAAATTATGACAACCACCAAATAATAAATAAGACAAGCAACAATAAAGGGAACACCATAATTTACGAGGTTCGGCTAATTTTGCCTACTCCTCGGACACAACCAATATTTTATTTCACTCCAAAAATACAAGTGAAATAATACTAAAGAGAGAAGATACAAATGCCTTAAACAGATGAGAAGGCAAATGAGAGGTGTGTTTAAATCCTAAACATTAAGCCGTCTTTTATAGGGAAAATTTCCCAATCAAATGGCTAACCCACCGATGTGGGACTTTGCCAAATTCAACAAATCTCCACCTTGGCAAAATTCCACAT